TCATGGCAGCAAGCAAGGTGCGAGAGAACAAAGAGACAAAAAACAAACTATTCATCAACTATTCTTACCTCTTCTACATTACTGCCTATTGTTGGCGATGTATGAACTACTTCACTCATTAAACTGTAACAGAAAAAGTAACATACATATTATGCCAGCGATTGAAAGTATTTGACTTCTGTGCAATAAAACAATCTCATAGCAAAAATCTAAAAGGCCAAATCACAATATACTTACAACTGATATAAAATCGTTGTTTTTCCTGCATTATCTAAGCCTACAATTATCACCTTGTGCTCTGCAAATGAAATAATACACATCACATTAGAACCATCCTGCAACAAAACATGGACAGAAAATGTCAATGGAATCTTTTATAAGATGGCAGGTTGTACAGTTGTATCAGTGCAGAAATTCTGATGATGAGCCCTGTCCCTAACATCCCCTCAATAAGATACCCCGACAAAAAAATATCCTCATGGCGGTAGAACTTGTTTGTTTGGACAGTTAAACTATTTCTTTTCTCATTAACAATCATTAGGCTACCAGTTCAAGCTTTCTACAAGCAGAAAACAACAGAGAGCAGCGGCAACCTTCCTTCTCAGTAAGGTCAGATGAAAAACAGCCTGCAAGGACGGCACAGCTGCACACCCCTTTCTATTTTTTCATGCGCCAATGTAGGAGAGAAAAATCTTTAAGGGGAAACCCCACATAAATTGAGGATCTAATCAAAATTATACACTTACAGTATGTATGTCTGGTTGTTGTTACATGAAATTCACACCACTACATACTTTCGGAACCTGTATGTAACTTTCACTGCCAAGATGATTAATATACTGTGGGTTTGATATTTTACAACCTCAACACTAAAGTACTGCTTCAAGTGTGTTCAAGCAACAAAAAGCCCAACTTGATAAAATATTAGGGTATATTTGTTCTACGATATTAGACAATATGATCATAATAAGAAAGATAATCTTGNTAAACGTGTCCAAATGAATACCGACTCGCGGTCGGATTGAGATCTTGTTCAATACCCAATAAAGGACAGAAAATTACATTTTCAAGCTAAACACTGCACGATTTCTGTCTTCTTTCTGTATCTAAGAACCTTCTTTTAAAAATACACTCCATATTGCTACAGCAAATAGAAATGCTGGATAAAATAGCAATGTCTAAAAATATTTTTCTGGCTACGCTACGCACAAGATGGACTACAACACTTACCTTCATTGCTAAACCAACTAAACAATTTCGCGAACAGCAATCCCATCTCATGCCGATAAAACTTACGTAATTGTTAAACAAATCGCAATAAAACCCTTGCGCTTAGAGAAAGACTTTCCTACTGATATTTGTAACTTCATCCACTTCCGAATCTTCCTTCGTGAAGATTCGGTGTACGCATGCTCCAAGCCTCGCATGGATGCCATGTGACGTCTCAAGGGAAACGAATACGTACATGTTCGCTCCGGAAGTTGAATTTGAAGTTAGATTTATAGGAAAAAATTACAATTTCTACACCAGATGTGCCCGTGGTGGCAGGGGTACTCACATATATTGGTTATAAGGTACGTGCCGCGAGATAGGATATGGTTTTTGAGGTTCCCGATCCTTAAATAGAGTATTATTTTTGCATCTGTTGGCATTGTGTTCCCGGTGTGATCATTAGATAGAGTTTCTAAATTGTACCAGCTAAACTTCTAGTGTGTAGATGCCCAGCTGAACCAAAAACAAATTATTTGCTTGATGCTTAACTTCCTGTTTTACAGAAGCAAAATAAAGCTGACCCGTTCACACCATTCTTAGTTTGTGTTTTTCGCTTGAAGAGGGTGTCATTTTTCGGCTTTATGCCTTTGCCTTTTGCTTATGCGTTTTCCCCCCGGGCAGATGTGCTGAAAGCAAAGTTTGATTTTCAGGATCAACGGGATCAACGTTGTTGATAAACAAAAGAAGACACTCGAAACTCCAAGTTCCAGCTGTCTAGATACAACAGATATAATCTAATTAACTTTACATCTCATCAAATTTTAAAGAAGTTCTGATCCATCTCAATATAGACAGGAGTGCATATAGTTCCTTTGTTTCTCGAGGGAACAGTTCAACGAAGACCGGAAGATGGGTGTTGCGTGGAGTTTTCCGGAAGAGGGTTTTTTTTACTTCCCTTTTGTTTCAAAGATAACAGATTTCCTGTTACGTTATGAGTCTATTTACGGAACAAGAAACATCCAAAAGCGCCGTCTAGAAACGAGGCAGAACTAAAATAACACTGAAAAGACAAGTCTTACTTTAGAAAACGACCTGCAAGCTGCGCGAGTTCGAATTAGTGCTCATAAAGATAAAGACACCAACACCATAAATCCTCTCATCAGATTTACAAGACAATGAACTTTATTTAAAAAAACAACGCAGCACAGAAGTTAAAACACGTACTTTTCTTTTTTAAACAATCACCAATAGGACAGACGCACTAAAACAAAATGTAGAAGTGAGATACACCTGTAGCGTAACAGCCAGCTGTTCGTAAGAAACATGATGGACTCGGCCTAACTAAAAGAGATGTCCGTTGCTGTACATTAATTTTTTTTTAAGTCTTATAAGTCAGCAAAGCTTGCACATAGCTGTGAATGTGTAACAAATACAGTCAACAAATATTGACAGTCTGTAAGAGAGCAGCAGAGGTACATGCTCCACGTGTTTTGAAAGTCAAAAAACAGAAAAAAAATTATGCCAAGTATGTACCACTTGTCTATATAAAAGATTATTAAATAAAATTAATGCAAGGGGCTATGTTGCTGCACACAGTGGCGAGCGATTCTTCAATAAACAGTGTCTTCAAAAGGAAACATCAAATTAAAGTGCTTCACAATACTATAATATAAAACAGAAATTGAACAGCATTCAGCTTGTAAGGTCAAAACTCATCAAATTTCACTATTCATTATGATCTGCCCAAGACTTTGGTCAGTTGCATTACCGTTAAATTTTAGTGACAATTTCTAATTGAAGAAAACGCTCCCTCTGAACTGAATGCCGTGAAATAGTTGCAATAACTTATTGTAACTGGCGAGAGAAGCTACAGATTAACAATGATGCTTGGTTGAGCTGGAAGAAGGGAGAATTCCCTGAAACCTTCCCTCCATCAGCCACGTGCCTTGACTTGTTTGACTTTGAATGGATTTCTTTTCTTCATTTCCTTCTTGTGTTCTCTCTCCTACAGGGATAAATATCATGAAACGTTTAAGCTACCTAGTCTGTCCACACATGTTTGTTTTTCTGCTAGGTAAGAGGTTATTTTTCTTCGACCACGCGAGCGATCCGATGCTAGCGCGGAGCGCGAGAGCGTCCGCGAAGCGCGCGCAAAAAAATAAACTTTCCCCAACCCCATCCCCTTACGTTTTAGCGCGTGTTTCCCACACGCCGGGTTTATATTTCGCTAAGCTTACGATCTCGACGAACTCAAGACAAAATAGAGGGTCTGTGGACAGGCTGTTAGCTAGCACATTCACATCACACAACACGCGAACTCAAAACACTTACAGGCCCCAACCCAGTATATCAGGATCACCCAAACCCCAGGATATCTCCAACCCACTCTCAGATCGTGTGGACCACTGGGAAACACGTAGAACATAAGTTCATTTACACACATACATACTTTATTTGTCATGTAGGTCATTACAAAGGCAGCTAAAAAGTTGATGTGGATCTACACACTAATGTATAACTACAAAATTTAGACAAGAAAAGAAAAGAAAAAGAAACTTAAGAAACTTATGAATTTACTAACCTCAAGCCGGCGCTGTCTCTCTGGGTCATCCTCCTGCATAATGCGTTCTTTCTCGGCCCTTATCTTGTCTTCACGACGCTGTTGAGCGGCCTTGAATTACAAGCGAGAAATAAGTTAATAAGTATAGACATTACACAGCAACAATGCAGTCAAGAATTCAGTACTGAAAGTGTCTGTCTATCTGTCTGTTTCTCTGTCTGTCCGTCTGTCCGTCTGTCTGTCTGTCAGTTGGTCAGTCACTCATCATTTCTTCTTCAGTAGACTTTTCTTATACCACACTCACTTCTTGTCTTTGGGCGTGAGATTGTTTGAGAAGGTTTTCTTCAAGTTCCCGTCGGTTTTTCTCGGCTTTAGCTTTTGCCTGGAAGAAAACACACATTACCACTGTTTAGTCATCAAGTGTACTTCAAATATTCCATATTGGTAAGGTATTTCCAGTGAGATCTATTCGGTGACTTTGAATGGCTCTTACTTGCATGCAAAAAATCAAACATATTCCTGTGGAATTTTACTCTCGTATGAATTGATGGATGAATTGAGGATATGAAATGGGAAGGTTGTTTATATAATGTGGTATGGTAGTCTGTGAAGAAACATCTGATGACACTCAGAGAGAAAGACTGCACAGGAAGCATAACAGAGCTATAACACATAACAACAACCCACCTCTTTTCCCAGCTTGAAACGACGAACCCTGTCAATACAGTGAAGTACAAGCCTCATCATGGGTTCCAATTTAACCATGTCAGCTGACTTCGTACTGCTGCCTTTAGAGGGCACTGAGAATTCAAAAATAAGCAATGAATAACTATAAAACAGATGGAAACTTAAATTACCCTCTGCAATTGGTGGAAATGGAATAAAATAAAATAAAGCGAAGTCATAATGAGAAAAGAGACTTCTTAAACGTACATTGTCGTAGCCTGTAGTACAGGCATTTTGCTGGGCGATTGCACTATACATTTGTTTGCAGAGTCGCCAAATTTAGCTACACTCTAACTCTTTAGGACATTTATTTTCTCTCTGTTGGCCCTCACCCAATCAAAATACACTCACTCACTAGAAGCACACCAGCATTGCATACTAACTTCAAGCTTTTTCTCAGATCTTTTTGCTTATGAGTAATTAATTGGAGAACTAAGCTTTCCTTTAAGTGCTGGTGATTGAGGAAAGAACCCAATTTATTAACCTGGGAGGTAGCTCAGTACAGGAACCAAAACAAGCATAGGTCAATATGCCTTCACATGATCAATTTGCTGGATCAACTCTGGTGAGAGCCATAACCACAGCATAATGACTGTTATTAAGGAACCACTTGTTTTTATGACAAAGGCTCTTGTTGTCAGACCTGATGAGCTTTTTAATAATCAAGGGTCCATTTTAGTTCTCACACCCACAATAAAGCTTATCCAACTTACCATTGAAATTAAATAACAAAACTTTCTTTGGTTTAACTGGTTTTCCACTGGCTGCCTGGTCACTGCAAAAAAAAAAATTAAACTAATTTCAACAAAACAAATATGAGATACAAATGGGAACATAGATTTAAATTGTACTTGAAAAAGGCTTCACTTCACTAGGATTTGCTCCATTTGACTCAACAAACATATTAGTTTGCATAGAAAAAACAAGCGTGTGTATTAACAGAAACTTACTCATCATCTGGTTGTTTAGGGCCTACATACTGATCAGAAAATATCAAGGAGTCAAACATTTCTTCACCACCTGAAATAGCTCTCGTGATCTACAAATTCAAAAGAAAACAAGATATCTTTTCAGGTCACTGGTATCAACCTTGGGTGTGAAAGGTTAAAGAGCACAACTAAACTAAGTGGTACCTGGGATGTTAAAATAGCACTGGCAGCCTCGGTTGATTCAGTTAAAACAACATACGAAGCAGGAAGATCATACTTGGCACCACTACGTTTATCAGGGCAGAAAAAAGTCTACAACAAACAAAGGAAAAAATGATTAAAGGCATATCTTTATATTGCATGACAAAAAATTAAAGTATTTGTTTTCATAAGAGAAGATTGTCTACCAAATCTTGCAGCTCCTTTTGCATCTTGGTTGCAGTCTTCTTTGGCAACACAGCAAAAACAAAGTTGTCCATTTCTTCCTCAGTCATGTGTACTGTAACTGTCTGAAACACATTTAAAGTTACAGCAGAATCAGAGACATCTATTGCCTTATGCTTACATTTGATTTCAAATCCAATGTTTGGCTTAGAATTAATTACAGTAGTGTTATTTTGTAATGTAACAGGATTGAGTAGAACCTGACAAGAGAGTAAACAAACCCAAATATATCATCTCTATCACCACAATAAAGTAATGTAATGAGCAGACTTTTACAATTACAATTTTTGATTCATGCTTTAACAGTGTAACAACAATAGCTAGACAGTTGTCAAGACTGATTAAATCTCCCAGCTGTTTGATGCAAAGAAACCATGCATGCTAATTTAATTTAATCAAATAAAGAATGTACCTGACAGTACATCAAACCCTTCCATCACCTTGAATTACTAACAGACAGTCTTTCAAAGCATTGCCTCTCTGCCTGACTAACATTATTTGTAGACAATCTTGATCAGGTATGGTTCTTTTACATGCAACACCAGTCAGTGGCAACAAACATTAGTTTTGGAGAGGAATGTTAATTGCACTTACTATGGTATCTCTTGCTGGTTTGACTAAATATGACATCACACTAACTAGGTCGTGGCGCTTCTGCAGCTGCAATGTAAAAAAAAAAAAAGAACCATTAATTATTTCAATTTTCAATTTCATTAACAAGCAATTATTACTTTACAGCAAAAAGAGAGACATCTCTTTTTTGTATTGATTGATCAACAGAGCTGATCAACAGAGTGACTGAATGACAAACTGACTGACGATTGATTGGTTGGCTGTTGATTGATTAATTATTAATATTGATTTTCTTATCAAACTGAAAATAATTATGTGACACTTAATACTCTGAACTCCACCAAAACAGCATGATTTTACTTATAATATATAATAATAAAAGTATTATTACTTGAATCCTTACATTGTAAAGAGAAACCCTGTCTTGTTTGGAAAACCCAAAGAAATGAGAACGATGTCAGTGATAACTATGCTATTTGCCACTTGTAAGAGCTTTTCAGCCTTTGATACCACATTTTTGGCCCATTAACGACGCTTAGTCAGTCATTTTCTTATACTTTTAAGAATCATTTAATCCGACCACCCTTTTAATAATATCACAATTTCATGGCCCAAACATGCCATATCAGCAGAATTCCATAGCGTTAAGGCTTACCTTTATTTCGACAAGCAGTCCTTCACATCCCACCCTCCCTGTGCACCACAGGGTGTAAAGACTCTCGCTCTCCTTCACAAGGACTCCTTGCTGAGGTTCTTCACTAGAACCATCATCACCTGTTCATTAAAAATAAAATAAGGGTACATGTTAGTGGGATCATGGTCAATCTGGAGAGTCAAAAAATGTTAAGACAAAAAGCCTGTATATAAACATGCACAGTGGTGCTCTTATACACCTAAGCACATTAATTAATTAAATAATTAATTAATTAATTTATTTATTTATTTATCAACATACCCACTATGCTGAAATTACTTTCTAGAAGTTCTTTGTTGGATTTTAACCTGAAAGTGCAAAAAAGGAGCTCAATTGTAGTTCTTTGGCATACTGATATTACAATGGGTACCTTTGCACAGCAAACTTTCTGTTTTGACTTCAAGTTTTGTTTTACACATATACAACACCCTCACCAAATGTACTTACCATGCAGTTGCAAGCCTGGAATTCTTGCTACGTCCAGCAAAGAAATTAAGAGCATAAACTGCAAGTCCTGCTAGAGTCAGAATTTCAGCATAAAATCCTTCCCAGTTTGCTCTTAAATGAACAGGAATCTATAAAAATAATGTCAAACCATTAGCAAAATGCAATCATAAATGTTACCATGACAACACCAACAGTTGCAAAAGGTAAAATTTCCACTATACATACTTTTTTGATTTTTAAGTCTGGTTGTGGACCTGATTTTCCTTTTGGTATCTTTTCTTTATTGTAACCCTGTCCAGGAAAAAGAAGAATTATGCTTATGCTTCCATAAAAATAAAGACAGTAGAGATGAAATATCTACAATGACCTATCTATGTGACATGACCAATAAATATACAAAAAACCTCAAATTCTTCTTCATCCGTGAAGTGATCAAATTCTTCTTGGTCCTCATCTGGCTGAAAGGTAAAAGCAAAATTAGACAACATTGACAGAATTAACAAATATTCCAAAATATAATCAACATCTAATTTCTCTTCACAGCATCATTAGCTTATAAAGTTGACAGGTGATAAGTATAAACATTATCATCAGCTATGGAATAACTTGCTCTCATGCAGTCATTAATATAAGGAGAATAGACCTTTGGACCTTAGGTTACCTCTTCAACTGTGGCCTCTGAATCATCTGTCTCTTCTTGAACATCAGCTAAAAACAACAAATAGAGACAAACAAATAGACAACTACAGTCGAACCTCCATTAAATGGTCACTCTCAGGGACAAGACAACCAGCCACTTAATAGAGGTAGCCATTTAATAGAGGTTTGCACAAAAACAATGAAAACAATGTCCAGTTTTCAGTTTATCAAATATAAGTACAAACAAAAGTGTAGAAAAAGTAGAACAATGTTGGTTATAATACGGTCCATAATGTTAAAAAACCCAAAGAAACAATTACGTTTCCACATTGTCATTCTTTTACCTTTTCATCTGGCTAAAAACACGTGACTTCAAATCTTCCTGGCCGTTTAATAGAGGTATAAAACAAAACAAAATCACCCTTGGGAGGGGAAGAAGTTGGCCACGGCCGCTTAATAGAGGTGGCCATTGAATAGAGGATTTTAATTTATTACAGTGTATAGCTGACAATTTTTCTGGGACTTTGGCCGCTGGCCGCAAAAAAAGGTTGGCTGCTTAATAGCGGGCCGCTTGATAGAGGTTCGACTGTATATGTACATGTACATCACCAATACAAATGGCAATATTGCTACTCCTCCTTCATACTTGTACAAAGCAGGTTTATTGGCTACCCTCTCTTCAGCTTGTCTGGCTGGTCTAAGAGTTCACTGGTACCTATGTAGTTCAGTAGAAAGATTGCTACTGTGAGAGCAGCATCTTGTCCAATAACCCAACACCAACAATGTCCAGTATTCAACTGAACTGAGTACAAAGCACTACTCACCATGCCACTGTACCTCCAACAACAATCTTTTTAAAAGAGTCATTTTTACTTATATTTATAACTTAACCTCGTGACCATTGGTTGCTACCATTTAATTCACAAATTTGATAAAATGCAGATTGTTATTGATTAACACCATGTCACATGGCAGGTTCCTGTTACCACGTGAATTGATTAAAAGTTAATGAATATCTTCTACTCCAGCGAAAAACTAAAATCCGAAAATGGTTATCAAAAATGGATCGAGACAAATTGTATCAGAAATGTTGAAATAAAAAACAAAATAATGGCAAGAAAGACGTAAAACCTACAGAAATCGTGCAAACATAACGACAATATTCATCAATAAAATCATTTACACACGCGTGCAACATGTCCCATCATGCAAAAGACAAATTGTGCTCGTCCTTTTGCTCTTACATGCAGTTTTGCGAAGTGCGATTCATTCTTTACAGTAACGTTTTAGGTCAAGGTTTTTTCGTCATTTTCGATAACAACAAATAAAATCTTTGATCAAACCTTCTTCGTCTTCATCTTGATCACTTGTTCCGTGCGTCTCTGTTTCTTCTTCCTCTTCTTCGTCCCCTTCCGTTTCAAATTCAGCAAAATCGTTTACTCCCTCATCAGGTTCGTCCGTCGCAGTTACATACGTTAAGAATCCGACTAGCAGCAGAAAAATCATGATCAAAATGGGCCTAAAAGGCTTCAAGTATGCACGTATGGACGCCATCTTTCCCTCTGGCTACAATAACTCCCAGAAGTCCTTTTGGTCGCTTTTCGCCGGGTTTGCAGTGAATGCAGGGAAAAGGCGGCCATATTGAACGTTTGGTAATCGTTTTGTTTTTCCAAAAATTGATTACCAAATTTACTTTAAAATGGGAAGCGAGGGCAAAATTGATGTTGAAATAAATGGTAAGTCAGCATCTCGAGATGAGAAAGATAACACGGAAAGAGACAGGGATAAAGAACGACACCGGCATAAAGACAGACATCGAGACAAGGACTCTCACGAGAGAGATAAAGAACGAAAGAGAGACAAGGACAAGGACAAGCATCGAGATCGAGACAAACGCGACAAAGACAGGGACAGAAGGAAGGATAAAGACAGAGATAGAAAACACCGCAAAAGATCAAGGTAGCGAAAAAGCCTTCATGAAAACAAGTCAAGCATAGAGGGACAGGATAAGTAATGCATGTCCTGGGTGCATGTGTACCCCAATGCATGTGTAATGCATGTTGATGCATATGTACCCCCAGTGCATGTTCCGGGTGCATGTGTTCTCCAGTGCAAGTGCAATGCATGTTTGCTTGTACCGTAAAAAGTACTCCTAGTACGGGACCCCCATTACATGTGTTATATAATACATGTGTACCCTAGTGGATGTGTAGTGCATGTTTGCTTGTATGGTAAAAAGTACCCCCAGTATGGGACCCCCATTGCATGTGTTATATAATGCATGTGTACCACCAGTTTATGTGTAATGTATAGTATGTGTACCACCAGTGCAGGTGTAATGCATGTGTACCCCAGTGCATGTGCTTTTGCATGTGAACATTGCTGACTGCTGGATGACAGTCAGAGATAGGTAGTGTAAGTTTTATGTTACACATAGTCGAGACATGCTGTATTTAATTTTTTATCTCTTGTTACTATCTTTT